TCAAAAATCTAATAAAGTTTGTTCGAAAATTTCCTTAAATGCATCCTTGATGTGGGTCGTTGGGTGGTGTGGCAAAAACATTTTCTTTCCCGTAACCCGATTAATAGGAATCGCAGGGCGTCAGGTCTGGCGAACGGGCAGGCCAAGAAATGGTTCCACCTTTTCCCGTTGCCAATTAGGGTAGCTATTCTTTCAAAACTATTTCACTTTATTTAATGGAACTCTTCCATCATACGTTTAATGTATTACACTATTGTCAATTTAAAAACTGGTTTGATTATTCCTGGGCAAAATCTCGCGTAAATTCGTCTTCTACAACAGAAGAGAGGATCAGTGACGCGAGATATATCCGGGCAAAACCCGGAAAAAACATGGCCAAGACTAATTAATCGACTCGGCGCGAAAATAACAACTTAATCCGAAATAAAATAGCCATCCGACTAAGCAGAAAACTTAATTAATTCGACTAGAGAAGATCGCGCCGCAGCCTCAGAGCCAGGCAGCTTCAAGGCAAGAAATCCTGCAGAATTTTAAGTATGTCTGCTATGATTTAGCGGTTTTAATTCGGCTTCCTGAATTATTTATAACATCAAGTATGTTGCCATTGATAATTAAATCGGCAGCATAAAGCTAAGGCTCCAGTTTTCGTAAATGAATTCACTGAGGAAAAACTGCCATTATTTAAATCGACTGAAACGCAGCGTTTTGCAGAAGATAATGACCAATGAGACAATAGTCCGCTGGCGGCATGGACATGGAAGAAATTATTCTTTAATGTTTTTATTTAAAAACTGTGTAACAAACCAAGCATTCTTGTTTTCTTGTTTTCAGTTGAAGAACTTCAATGTTTGGCTTCATGGAAAGAGGGCAGCGTGCGATACTTGGTAGGCCAAATCCACCATCATCATGTCACCTCAAATGAGGACCGATTCAGGTGTTTCGTCTACGAGAAGACCACGCCATCCTCAGAGAATGCCGAAGGCATTGACTACCGGGTGGCCCAAAGCGGAGACGCCACTTGCAATGGGCTGTTCAGTGCAACGGAGGGAAGCCGAACAATGACTCTGCGACGAGGTAACTCTAGTTCTGGTTAGTTTGTCTTTGGCTCACCCTGTTGCTTAGTATGTTTTGTGTTTTGCTCTATTAAAATGTGGAGGACCAAACCGGACGAAATGCACTTTAACCGCTCTGCTCTCACATGTGGCTCTTAATAAGTCCGAGATTCAAAAATTACGCAAATTTTCGCAATTTGCATGTTTGAATATTATTGCGCTTCGGACTTACACGTGTAGGGGGCAATAAGAACTTTTAATCATTGTCGGCTTTGCGGTTGCAAATTTTAATTTGTCTGCTGCAGCGGAAATGTCTCTCTGGCGTAAAATCAAAGGACGCGAATTTTTCCTCAGTCGTACTTTTAGGCCGCCAAATTGGAGTTGAAAGCGTGCATTCATAAGCGAACTAATAGAGGAATTTTCAAATGCTTTTATAACATCTTTGAAATGGGTTTTGGTACGTTTTTTTTTTTAACAGAGAATAATTCGAAATTCCTTTGCATACAATTAAAAATAAAATACGAATAAGTTAAGGGGCTCAACTCCCAATCATTTTTAAGTCTTTGACGGAGCTGGACGCCTGAAATTTTGACCAAAGATGGACCATAGAGCCTACTAGTTGGCTAGCGAGTTTTGCTTCATTCCGGTTTGTTGGGGAATTATTCGTTCAGTGAATGTATATGGTATGTTCAGGGAATATACATACATATATGTAACGAAAGAAAAACGATC